GGGGTCAAATCAAACTGCTACTATTTCAACAACACTGCAATCTCCCATTATTAATGCGGTTAATAGCAGTAGCAGCAGTATTAATGGCGGTGTTAGTAGCAATAATGGTGGTCTACGTACGATTTCAGGTTTTTCAGCGACTCTTGTATCTTCTAATTCTACCTCTTCTGTGCGTTCTCCAACGACAATTCCAATAATGAGCACAGCGAGAAATAATTCAACATCATCGCAAATATACACATCTGCGGACAAACGTCAATTTGTTAAATTTTCTGATACTTATAAACCGGGAATGATTAGAGTTGGATCTAAGTGGGTGTATCCAGAAGATGAAATAACCGAGGGTGGAACGTGGGAACATAAGAAACGCGCTGAAGAAATGAAGCGAACTGCTGGTAAGGACAAAAGACGCACGGGCGTAATTATCGGAGTATTTTACGAACAATGTGATCGTTAATAATATTTTTGCTTCTCGATGAAATAAAGATCAAGCAGCACTTTTGACACAACAAGCAGAAGCTAAACGTGCCCATCATATCGCTGATTTTCTACCAAAAGAAGAATTACATAAATTTGAGTCAAAAGTAAAGGCAGTCAAAACGGGCGAAGTTTCTCCCAGTTATGAAGATTATGCAAATAATAAATTGGATCAATCAAATATTGGATTCAAGATGTTGATGAAACAAGGATGGCAGGCAGGCTCGGGACTTGGGAAATCTGGCGAGGGAATTGCGGCACCTATAAACAAGTAAACTTCTATTTTTAGATTTATCATCATTATCAGCATTAGATTAAAACATATTAATGTCATTTTAAAAATATTAGAGCTGATAGTCGTCCTGCCAATGCCGGACTAGGTCAAACAAAACCGGATGGAGTGGAGGAGGAGGATGATGAATTTGAAATTTATCGAAAGAGGATGATGCTTGCATACAGATTTAGACCTAATCCTCTGGTATGTGATTTTCATAATTATAATACATCATCACACTCTTGTATCATATAACATCTACCACACAAAATCTTGTATTTATGTAAATATTATTAGTTGTGTATATAGAAAGATAGTTAGAATATAAAAATGATAGCGGTGCACTACTAACGCTTTGCCCTTCCTAGAACAATCCTCGTCGACCATATTATTGAAAATATTTATACAAAAACAGTGCAGTCCCGGCCACTTCCTCCTTCTTACTATTAGGTTTCCTCCTTCGTCCATCCTTAGATTTTTCTTATTTTATTATTTTATCTCCTCTTTTTTTTTTTTAGCTTTGTTTGATCTGCTTCTCTTTAGGGATTAATCATATCAACACCACACGGTTGATAAAAGACGATCAAAATTAAAGTCCGCAAAAATAGCTTTTTTGCTAGTATGGTGGGATTTTTCTTAACTTGTTCATTATAGGCGCGCTAGTGGTAGTAATTGTAAAATAGTCTTATTATTGTTTCTGGAATGATCACGATTTCGAGCGAATCTCCTCTCAATTGACAAATATATATATATATATATATATACATATATACATATATTTATAATGAATTTCGTTATTTATTTAAATAATACAGTAAGCATATATGATACATGTTTTAAATAATTTTAAAGTGTTAGGTACAGATGTGCGCAAGTGAAATATGCATATGTATTTGAATTGATGATGATCTAGAAGGGAGATTTAGCCAAACGGAGGTATGGCTTCACAGTCGTGAAACCGGGAAACAATTTTTCAGCTTCTTCATTGGTAACACTTGGATGAACAATCACATCATCACCTTTTCTCCAGTTAGCTGGAGTAGTGATGCGATGCTTGTCGCCTAATTGGAGAGAATCGATAACACGGATGAGCTCATCAAAGTTGCGGCCTGTTTGATCATATTAATTTCAACATATATAAAGTTAGGCAATTTCAAATTGATAGATTATAATAAAATCATGAAACATAAGTAATTTTACCAGTAGAAGCTGGGTAAGTAAGAATCAAACGGATAGTTTTCTTTGGGTCAATAACAAACACGCTTCTGACGGTGAATGGGATTCCCGCCGTATCGACATTCGTAATATCTTGATAATCCAACATATCGTAAAGTGCCGAAATTTTACGGTCATGATCGGCGATGATTGGGAATGACAAATTGACGTTGTTGACCTCGTTAATGTCTTTTATCCAATTCTCGTGATCTTCTAATTTGTTGGCCGATAGACCAATGATTTTTACGTTACGCGAGTCAAAATCTGCTTGACGACGCGCGACTTCACCTAATTCGGTTGTGCATACTGGGGCTAATGGTGGAGCATTTTTTATTAGTGTCATTGTTATCTTATTCAATTCAATTAATTTGTATATTTCATGGTAAGAAATGTAGTTATTTCAAAACAATGAAAATTCTTTGGACAATAATGAATGTGATCCTCTCTCAAGAAATAAAAAGTATACTTACTAAAGTCAGCGGGGTGAGAAAACAACACAACCCATGAATTACCAATAAATTGGTGAAAGTCAATATCTCCTTTGGTAGTTTGTGCAGTGAAGTTTGGAGCAGTAGTACCAAGACGAAGAGGCATGTTGTTTGGATTATAAGATATAAACAGAAATCTTTCGTTTGAGTGCGAGACGAAGGGAAAAGAGAGACACTTTATATATTTGAATTCAAGTTCGTAGATCAGAGATTTTTTTTTTCTGGTACTAACTGATGATTGGTCAATTATGATGCCATCGCATTAGAAAAAAAATCCTAATAATGGTGAAATAATTCACGATTCTAAGGTGACGACAATAATAAATATAATAAATGGAAATTTTCGAAATTCTATCTCTATCCATTTTTGGGCAACGTAAAGAGAAACATATTTAAAAGCAAATTACTAAGCAACTTTTGATACGAGAGTGCTATTTGGATTAGTGGCCTAAAAATTTAGTTCATCTTTCATTATTCCAGCGAAACTTGGTCGGTTCAAGAAAGCAAAACCGATATACACCGATAACCCAATTAATGAGCATTTTCGCTGTAAAGCTTGGCCAAAACACGTTTTTTCGGGAAAGGACACCAAATGATGCGCAACATACATGCTGTGCTTAAAACAAATAACAAAATCACCCCACATTTCCCGTCGTGATAATATAAATAATGTTCCATCGATGCAACGCTCGCATGCCTATGATTTTGATTTTTTTTCCCATTTGATAAATTTCTTTGATTAACCGTACTCCCGAGAATGAGCAAATTGTGTTAGGAAGCAGAGGAAGAGTTCATGAATGAGGACAAAAAGGATTCTTCTAGCACATAGAAAAAGCGTGCTTTTAAAGAGTTTGTTCTGTATTGGAACTAGTAAAAGGTGTACTGTGACTGGTTCAATTGTTCTGGTGTCAAATTGCTCAGTGATCTCATAATAAAAATGCTCATTTAACTGGATAGCTCAGTTATTTGGGGATTTTTTCTTTGGAGATTTCGGATAATCGAACTTATCACGTGTATGATTATAGTGACTGGCACAATATGAAATCAACTTCTAAAATAGGTGCCCACATTAATTTCAGGCACGAGTAGCATAATTGGCTCAAATAATGGTCTGAAAATTTACTGCAGATTTCGAAATATGGGAATTTTGATGTTTTGCATGATTGATGAAGTTTACGAAAAATATTTTTATGAGATAATTCACGTATAATAAAAGAAAAATTACTTTAGCGATAATATCATCAAAATCATTTGGCAACCGGCGAAGATTGACGGGGTAATCAAATTTCAAGAAAACTATGTATTACTAAGATATGTTCGTTACCACTGCCATTATTGAAATTCAAAGGTGGATTTCCGGGTCTTTCAACAATTGCGGTTTGTATTCCGGCTTTTTTGGCTGCATTTATTTCTACAATTATTTCGTCGATTAATTAACGATGTCTTAATAAAATCAAATCAAAGCAAAGATAAATACCATTAATATTATCACTTAGAAACAGCATAGACGACGGTGAAGACTGAATTCCAAGCTCATTACAAATATTTAGATAACTTTGACTCTCGAGTTTTGAGCCGATGGTTGTATCAAAATGACCATCAATATACTTTTTTAAAAAAAAGAATAAGATTAACTTTTTTCGTAAAAAACACACGCAAGCTCACATAAATACATACCCCCAATAAATTCCCCTTATCCGAATGTGCAAATATTAGTTTCTGTGCCTCAACACTACCGGAAGAATAAATGTATATTTTTATGCCGGCATCTTTCCACCGTTTAAATGCCGTTACGACGTCATCATAGATGCTATTGTTTTGTTAAAAAAGAATTAACCATATTAATAAATATATTTCTCGGGAATATTTGGATTCATACTTACACGCTCTTCAATTCACCAGAATCATATCCTGATTTCCACATGTATCCCTGAAACGACTTTAACGCGGCAATTTTCCGATCTGCGCGCATCTGCCACCGAATATTATTTGTGATCGCATCTTGAATTGATTTTACGTCACTATCAAGAGAGAGGTGTTAGAGGAATCAATAATCTAAGATTTAATCGAATAAATATGTACCTTTCATTCCCGTTCGGGATTATCACTGCATCCGTTATTCCGTTCTCCACATCTTTTAATGCCTGCCATTGCCAAAAATAGTATTAGAATCAGATACATATATTATCAAAAAGATTCTAGTACCTGCTCTCGAAGTAACTGAATGTGACCTTGGAATTCTGACGAATTCCAGTTTTCTTCCAAGAAATGCGTCAAATTCTCGGTAACATAGGGAAACTTGAGGTAAAGTGAAGATTAGTATGATTACACGCATAGAAGCTCGGACCAAATACTCACTACTAACCAAACAATCATGAACAAAAGCTATTGGTGTGGTAGTTCCTTCAATGTCAAGTAAAACAGTGTTGTATGGTGACATCTTTGTGAAATAAAGAAAATCGCATGGGTGATCACCATTAATTGTATGCAACCTAAAAATTGTTTGAATGGTCGAATGTGCACGTTTTGCATTTCCCTCGGCTGTCTTCAAAAATAACTTTTCGGAGCAAACATTCAATTATCTGCTGCAATGAAATCCCGCACGTTCTTTGTGAAATTCGCATTGATAAAAAGAATTACAAATTTCATGACATCAATCATACAACGTGCGACAAGAAAAATCCGAGGTTGTGTATGCTACATCTTTATTGATGTTAATAATAATTATCTTTATGCTCGGTTGCACATAATTTAAATTAAAGTTACACGTACTTTAGTCCGAAATACATGTATTAAGTACACACCATCTTTGGACTTTCTTTTCTTCAAAACAATCACAACAATACACCCTAACCCTTGCACTTCACATAACTCCTTTCCTTTCTTTACAACTCACACGTGGTGTATTTTTGCTGTTATAAAAACTTTTTAATTCCCTTTAATCACAAAAAATTATAGGTAATTATAGGTGTTCGCTGTGTTAGACAATATATCCGATTTCCATCCCACCTATCATTACTAGTTTTCTCTTCCCTCTTTTCCTTTCTCTTCGACCCACTTAATTTTTTTCTTATTGCATTCCTTAATTTTTTTCGTCGTCCTCTCGTCGTCTCATCGTCGACCATATTAAAAAATAAGAATACATCAGAGTGGGCAAGCGCTGAAAGTTGTACACGCTATATATATATACGCATATAGAGTACTTACATCCACAAAAATAAAGCCGACTTGGGTTTTCCAACCGAAAAAAAAAACAGACACGCACATACAAACCATTCTTTCCCATACAGTTCTCTAAGTAACAAAAAAAACAAGTATAAATATGGGTTGCTGTATGAGTCAAGAAGAGAAGGAAGGAAGACGCAAGAATGATGAAATTGAGAATCAACTTAGACGCGACAGACTCTCAATGAGAAATGAAGTTAAAATGCTTTTATTAGGTACGAACTTAACACGATGTTGCGGATGAGCCATTCCACAACCTCTAATTCTCTAAATCATAAAACAATACAGGTGCTGGCGAATCAGGGAAATCCACAATCTTGAAACAAATGAAGCTTATTCACGATGGTGGATATTCGGCTGAAGAGCGAGAGTCATTTAAAGAGATCATTTTCTCGAATACAGTTCAATCAATGCGCGTCATTTTAGAGGCAATGGAGAATATGGGTTTATCACTACGTAATGAGAGTAGCCAAAAACACGCAAATGCCATTTTAAATTTACCTAGCCAGATTGAGGGAGATCATTTATCACAAGATGTCTCGTTAGCAATTAAGAATCTATGGGCCGATCGTGGTGTACAGGATTGTTTCAGTCGGTCACGCGAATACCAATTGAATGATTCGGCTAAATAGTAAGTTTTTTTGATTCGAATGATGAGGGAGACGACCTCCATAGTAAATAAATTCATTCAATCTAATGATAATGGTCTTCATCATTTATCATCTAGTTACTTTGATTCGATTGATCGCATTGCACAGCCAGATTATCTTCCGACCGATCAAGATGTCCTTCGATCTCGTGTAAAAACTACCGGTATTACTGAGACCACCTTCTTGATCGGTGAATTGACCTACCGAATGTTTGATGTCGGTGGTCAACGGTCTGAACGTAAGAAATGGATTCATTGCTTTGAGAACGTAACAGCAATCGTATTCTTGGTTGCTATATCTGAATACGATCAATTGTTATTGGAAGATGAGACTGTGGTGAGTATTTATTTTTAAGTTTGGGGTTAAAATTCCGATAGCGTCTGATCAATCAAGGAATGAATGGGGTTTCGTGTGAGTTCGAGATATTGGAAGATTTGAAAACCTTCTATATTATTAATCGTTTAAAATCGGTCATTTCCTATAGAATCGTATGCAAGAAGCCTTAACGTTATTTGACTCGATCTGTAATTCACGATGGTTCGTAAAAACATCGATCATTCTATTCCTGAATAAGATTGATCGATTCAAGGAAAAACTTCCAATCTCGCCAATGAATAAATATTTCCCCGACTACGAAGGCGGCGACAATTACGATGCAGCATGCGATTATATACTGAACAGATTTGTCTCACTCAATCAATCAGACGTCAAACAGATTTATACACATTTCACATGTGCCACCGATACGCAACAAATAAAATTCGTGATGGCAGCTGTTAATGATATCATCATTCAAACAAATCTACGAGACTGTGGGCTACTGTAAAGAGTAAATTAAAAAGCTGGCACATGGGTTTTTTTGGCGGGTGTGCGTATTTGGTTATGTACAACTTAAAAAAGAAAAATTCCTCTTTTTTGTCTTCTCATACATAATTATCAACAACAACAACAACAACATCAACATCATCATCATCCTAATCGCCATTATCCTTAACAACTACAACAAAATTATCGTAATCAAAAAAAGTTTTGTCAATTTTGCTCATATATCCAATTCGACCTTTGTACTTTTTTCATCCTGTTTACATTCGATCAAATAATTATATAATACTATTTTGGATGTTCAATAATTTTATTACCTCTGATTATAACGACTAATCAAGATGCTTGTTATTTAATGTGTTGCTCTTTCTAATTTTTGTAATTTTAGATTTGCAGCATCAGCAGCATCAACCTCAACCTCATCACCATAATAATAATTTATTACTAATATTAAAATAATGGTTATCACTAATAAACTAGCTAATAGAAAAATATACGGAAATGTAAAAAAAAACCTCGAATGTCTTATATATCTTGTATAAAAATATGTCACATCACTAAATGAGATCAAATGTAGATCAGATTTGAATTAACTCCAAATATAATGATAATATCAATAGCGATATGATCTATGAAAAAAGAAACGAGACCACGTTTTCGCTGGTCATGGACATATGATTTTCTTTAGGGATAGATTAAACGATTAAGTGTCGAGGACTACCCCATCAACGTAAAAGCCTCGATAGATTCTATCTTGGAAAGTAGCAAACACGTGAAGATTCTGAGAAGAAAAGATGCTGATTCGGTGATCGATAGGTTTCATGCCGTAAGTTTGTTTTTTGAACATTCGAATATTACGAAAATTTTCAGGGACTTGGCAAAGGACACCTTCCTGAAGGTCGATTTTTTAATTGGCTAAAACTAAATAACATATAATTGTATAATGTCTATATACATTTATGTTGCCTTGGTATATCAACATGTACAAAGTCGTAACATGGATATGATGTGAATGAAACTTCTAGTGTTGAATATCATCCCATCCTCTTCCGCGAACTTGCGACAATTCCTCTTTGGTGGGAACTTTTCCAGTGCTAAAATAGCCATCCGCAATTTTGGCATCAATCTCGACGCGCGAATCAGGCGGAATGAGTTCATCGGGAATGGGTACACGCTCGAGAATAGGAATACCAGATTTTACAATGGCATCGTGTTTCATGTTTGACATTGACATCATCCTGTCAATCTTGGTGATACCGAGCCAATGTAAAACATCTGGCATCAATGCTTGGAATCGCACATCTTTAACCCCAGCCACATTTTCTGAAAAAATTATTTATGATAATTTTTTCACTTAATTTGTAACGAAGGATATTATCAACTAGTCAACTAATCAATTACCTGTACGCAAGAAATAGTTGTCTGCCGTATCGCCTCCGGAAGAACGCTTGCGTGCATTATATACCAAGTATTTTGTCACTTCACCAAGAGCACGGCCCTCTTTTCTGACTGTAGACAACAATTCGTGTAAAAAGAAAAATTAGATGAAAGACGCAGAATCATACAATATGACGAGTTCAATAAGGATAACCTACAATAAACGACAACGCCTGCACCACCATTTTGAGCCTCTTTAACACATTCTTCCATACCAAATATTAAGTAAGGTCGACAAGTGCAAATATCTGAGCCGAACACATCAGAACCATTACATTCATCATGCACGCGTACGGTAAGTCTTTTATTTGGATCAGAAATGAATTCATGGTTTCCAAAGATATAAACAGTGAATCCTCCGATAGGCGGTAAAAATACTTTGAGATCTGGGCGCGTGATTAATTCAGGATACATGCCACCAGTATCTTCGAACAAAGCACGACGAAGTACTCCTTCATCAATTCCGAATCGAGAGGCAACTCCGGGTAAATACCATACAGGCTCAACAGCTGCTTTGAGAACATTTAATTCTCCTTTATTATTCAACACAATTTTTCCATCAACCTTTAATCGACCTTCCCCGACAGATTTTTCAATTTCTGCTAATTGCATATGAGCTTTAGTGATGGCGATAGTTGGACGAATATCCAATCCTTCCTCTAGGTGTTTAGAGAAAAGAGAAGTGGTAAGATGACCAAAAGGATCGAAAGAGATAATTTTAGAAGGATCGCCCCATTGAGGATGTGGTCCTATTGTGACAGTAGGTTCTGTGTTTTTAAAATCAGGTCGATGATTTGGATCAAGAGCACCCATCGCAACAGCCAATGCACGATATACGCAATAAGAGCCACCATATGCTCCAATCGCATTACTATCATTTGATGAGATAAATTTAAATTCAATTATTAATTAATCAAATAAATACTCATCATCAAACATACCGCACTTTTATGCTGGTTGGATGACGTGATGCGAGGACTGGTCCACGACGATTAGGATCCAGTTCAGCCCAATTAAGAGGAATTGGCTTTATTCCAAATTGTCCGGGATATGCTAAATAAATTAAATTCAGCAAGAAAAAACATGAGCATAGAAGAAATCTCAAAATTTCAATGAAAAACGCGCTTACTTGTCAATATTACGCGATCAGCATAATGTGATTTATGTTGAATATCGGTTGGAGAAGTAGGCTCTGATTGTTTGTGGGTATTAGCTTCGGAAGTAAAAGTTGTACTAACTTTACCTGATTAATATTGTTTAGAATTTATGTTAAGATATTAAGAAAATCAATAAATACTCGTATCGATTTTTACCTTGATTATTGGGGTCGACAAGTGTTGTAATAGTAGCGACACTCGTGGTTGGAATTAAACGCTGCTGCAATTTCTTTAACTCTTCCTCATTTTGCTCTTGATATTCAGCAACCTTTAGACATTTTAAACACGAAATCGTTTTTGATTAAATAAAATAATTACAAATAAATTCGCGATTTACCTTAGTGGCCAAGGTAACTTGGTCTTGTTTCAGGGATTCGATGGATTCCAGGATTTTTTGAAGCAATTTTGTAGAATCCTTCGGTTCAGCCATTTGCTTATAATAGATATAATAGAAAAATTACTTTGAGACGTACTTGTTATATAGATTCTTGGTAAGTATAGACAGAGAGTATGTAACAAAAAGAGAAAGGTGTAAGTCGTGTTAACGAGCACCTTAAGGATTCGACGTTCTGATAACGATGGTGCACGTTCGATTTCTAGGTTGCGCAATCTTGTATACTTTCCCAAGATGGAGCGATGTCTATTTAGGGTCCATTCATCTGCAGATCGATCCACGAATTAATTATTCCTTAATTCGCTCAAAGGACAATTAAACTTGAATTTACAAGATGTCAAATATACATTCCTCGAAACATCCTCTTGTCGATCATAAAATCTCAATACTTCGCAATAAGAATACCAAACCGAAGCAATTTAGAGAACTCCTACATGAAATCGGGCAATTGCTTGCATATGAAGCTACAGCTGATTTGCCAATTAAGCAAACTGACGTGGTAACACATTTAAATTTTAGGGCTCCCTTCATTAATGTCGTACTTTCGTTGAAATTTTTCTAAAATGGTAATAGCGGGAAAGTCCATTGAAATCTTACACTGCTACCGAATTGGCCGGCAAAATTGGTCTTGTACCCATTCTCAGATCTGGACTTAGCTTCGTGAATGGTTAGATTTTGTACAAAAAAAAAGTTAATTGAAATTTCTTCAAATATATTAACTAATTTGTTTATGTTAAAATAATTATTAGCTTTGGAAGCTTTGATTCCCTCTGCACGAGTATTACATCTTGGAATTTTCCGAGAAAAAGTATCTTTTTATTTTCGAATACGAACTTTCGAAGAGAATATTAATTGATCTGAAAACTATATTTGCTTTGTTCCTAGGTTTCTTTGCAGCCTGTTGAATATTACAATAAGCTTCCTAACGTGCCGAACGTTGATCAAGTAATAGTGTTGGACCCCATGATCGCTACAGGTGGAACTGCAATAGCAGCCGTATCAATTCTTAAGGATTGGGGCATAACAAATAAAATCAAATTTATTACTGTGTGCGCGTCCAAACAAGTAAGAAAATCAGTGATCAAAGGTAGAGCAAGCATTGTACTATTACTAACCCAACTATTCTTTATCTGTAGGGCCTTGAAAAATTAACAGAAAAATATCCAGATGTCGAAGTGTTCGTTGGTGTGGTAGATGGAATCTTGGACGAACATGGTTATATTGTACCAGGATTAGGTCGGTTTTTAAATTATGTTTATGCATTTTATTTAAACTTATCATGATAATTAACTCCTCTTATGTTATATAGGGGATGCTGGGGATAGGTTATACGATACCATACAAGATTAATAATATTAGTACTCTCCGTATATTGACTATAGAAAGCACCCTAATTTATTATTTATTGTTTAAATAAAATTCGACTTAAATTCTTAATAGCTATATCAAAAAGATAGGATCATCGTCTGCCTTTTCTTCCTTTTTTCTTTTGAGCCTGAGTGGTATTCGATGAACTTTGTGATGCCCCACCGCTAGCAGCAGCGGCGGCAGCACTGCTACTACTAGCAGCGTTAACTGAACTTGAGCCAGTGGATGATCCACCACTGTCTTTAAGCAAACCTGATGATACGGCGGGCGAATTTTTCGGTGGGAATGATAATTTACTGTTCTCTTGAATTACCGATAATAACGCTGAAACCTTTTTCATCAACTCTTTACCTATGAAATATAATTTAAAATGACACGATTATGTTAATTCGCTGCATGAAATTTATATAAGACCTTAAAATAATTAAACGCAAAGAAAACTTACGCGTGGGAATTGATGGATTGATAGGAATATTTTGATTTTTTAATGATACGCGTACGCGTCCCGGATTTCCCCAATCTCTGGGATGTGTCTTTTGAGGCTAAATACAAATTTAGCATTAACATTTAGATTATCACGGACAATCATGAATAAGATAATTACCTCGAATAAAACAGAAAGTCCTAATTCTTTTACAGCCTCCGCAATATTCTGTGCGAGAGGATTGGGAACTGCGCGTTCTCGAACCACTTTGCGGCCCTGTTGCACCGATTTAGTCGAGTCAAAGTAAATAGGATACAAGCATATCCAACTGTATTGTGCATTCGAAGGAGTCAATTAACAACCGACAAACTGACAAGGAATGTTTGAAACTGTAAGGTGATAAGACTACGTTACGATTTGTATTGGCCGTCATCCTGTACCTGTGTAATTGTCGGGTTCTGAAAGATGCCAATTGAAGGCAGTTCTGTTGGTAAGTAATCAGGGGGATCGTCTTCCATATTATCGAAATGATTATCGTTGGAAAATTTTATTATGTTGTAATTGTTAGCGGGGGTTATGGGTTTTGGGCGAAATTACGGAATTAT